GCTGGGACCACAGGCGCCCGCCACAACGCCCGGCTATTTTTTTGGTTGCAGCTGTCATTGTTGTTTGGTGGGCCCAGGCTGGATTCGAACCCTCCACCTTAGGTGTACGTGGCTGCCACCTTAGCCACTTGAGCCACAGGCACCGAGCCTATTTTAATTCTTTTTGGAGATAAAGTCTCACTTTGTCACCCTCAGTAGAGTGCCATGGTGTCACAGCTCACAGGAATCTCCTGGGCGCCAATGATTCTCTTGCCTCAGCCTCCCAAGTAGCTGGGACTACAGGCTCCCACCACAATGCCCGGATATATATATATATATTTTTTTTTTTTGCAGTTTTTGGCCGGGGCTGGATTTGAACCCGCCACCTCCTGCATATGGGGCCAGTGCCTTACTCCTTTGAGCCACAGGTGCCACCCAATGCTCGGATATTTTTTTGTTGTATTTGTCATTGTTGTTTAGCAGGCCCGGGCTGGGTTCAAACCCGCCACCTCCAGTGTATGTGGTCAGTGCCCTAACCACTGAGCAACAGGTGCCAAGCCTTTTTTTTTTTTTTTTTAAATAGAGCCAGGATCTTACTCCTGCTTAGACTGGTCTCCAACACCTGGACTCAAGCAATCCTCCCACCTCAGTCTCCTAAAGCACTAGAATTATAGGCGTGAGCCACTGTGCCTGGCTTTTTATGTTCCCTTAATGCTTAGTAAAAGAAAAGACAGAACTAACTTCAGATATATGTATATTTTAACTTTTTACTATGGAGAATTTCTAACCTACACAAAGGTACATGGAATAAGATAAGGACCCCTCATGTACCCGTCACCCATCCGCAATAACGACCAGCCTGAACGCCTGAGCTCAAGTAATCTGCCTGCCTTGGCCTCCCAGAGTGCTGGGATTACAAATGTGAGCCACTGTGCCTGGCCTTGGCCCAGGTGATTCTTATAGTTAAGTCAGATTTGGAGACTACCCACATGAACCCACCAAATGACATTACTCTATATTCCAGGGGAGCTTTTCTAAAAGCAAACTCACCTCTTCTTTGGGAGTTTAATTTTTGCAATGTAGCTCAGACAGTAGTTGATTAAATCCTGGATTAGAGCCTCACCCAGGTGACCTTGAATATTCTAGATAAAGAAAACACTAGAGTTATTTGATTCAGCAGGAGGCATTTTCAAACAGCTTTGCAGCAAACCCAGGCCTTCAGCCACTGCTGTCCGGAAGCCACTAGGCTGATATGGACAGATACTGACAGGCCCAGCTGCTCTTTAACTCTTTCTCTTTTTACTCTGGTTGAAAACATCAGACAGACCAGATAGGCTTCAGCCAAAAGCATTTTCTGCTTCATTACTCAAGATTTTTGTATTCATTATTTTTCAGATGCTTCCTGGAAGGTCCTAAATGTTCAAAATGTTTACTGAAGCTGCTTTTATTCATTTAAAATATTTACAAATGCTGATAGAAAATGTCTTTGTTCTACTTTGGCTTTCTCTCACCTGTGAATGGAATGATCTTACTACTATTAAGAACTATAGGCTCAGTGCCTGTGGCTCGAGCAGCTAAGGCGTCAGCCACATACACCTGAGCTGGTGGGTTCCAGCTCAGGCCCACCAAACAACGATGGCTGCAACCAAAAAATAGCTGGTCGTTGCGGCTTGTGGCAAGTGCCTGTAGTCCCAGTTACTTGGGAGGCGGAGGCAAGAGAATGGCTTGAACCCAGGAGTTAGAGGTTGCTGTGAGCTGTGATAACACAGCACTCTACCCCGGATGACAGCTTGAGGCTGTCTCAAAAAAAAAAAAAAAAAAAAAAAAAAGAGCTACACAGCACCTTTTTTTTTTGGAGACAGGGTCTCACTTTACTGCCCTTGGTAGAGAGTAGCTGGGACTACAGGTGCCCACCACAATGCCCGGCTATTTTTTTCCCCTTGTAGATGTCACCATTATTGTTTGGAGGGCCTGGGCTGGATTCGAACCCACCAGCTCCAGTGTATGTGGCTGGCGTCCTAGCTATTTGAGCTATAGGCCCTGAGCCCACATAGTACCTCTTAAAAATGCTTAGAGTGAGGCAGCCTGTCCTAGTTTGTGCTATTATAAGTATTAGATTTAAATATCCTTAAAAAATTATGAAAATTTAGTTATCAATTTGGAATTTGTAATGGTTCTAAGTTTAGATTTAAAGTTGAAAATTGAAGAAAAGAATATAGAATGAAGATTCATTCCTACCCCTGTTCCTCAGCTTCCCAGGGTACCTTTCCAGAATAGGTGTCCTCAAACTATGGCCCGCGGGCCACATGCAGCCTGCCTAGGACATTTATCCGGCCCGCCAGGTGTTTTTGACACTGCTGACTGTCCTGTTTAGCAGCCAACTTGTCCCGGGGCTCGCAGTCTGGCCCTCCAATGGTCTGAGGAACAGTGAACTGGCCCTGTGTTTAAAAACTTTGAGGACCCCTGCTCCAGAACATCCAATGTCAAATAATCTTATAGAAAGCAATTTAATAGGGGGGCATCTGTGACTCAGTGGGTAGGGCACTGGACTCATAAACCGAGGGTGGCAGGTTTGAACCTGGCCCCAGCCAAACTGCAACAAGAAAATAGCCAGGTGTTGTGGCAGGCACCTATAGTCCCAGCTACTCGGTAGGCTGAGGCAAGAGAATTGCCTAAGCCCAAGAGCTGGAGGCTGCTATGAGCTATGATGCCATAGCCACAGCACTCTACCAAAGGTGATAAAGTGAGACTGTTTCAAAAAAAAAAAAAAAAGAAAGCAATTTAATAGTAGTATATAGTGGTTCAGATACTGAAGAACTTACCTGTTTACACAAGAGCTTCCCATCTTTGAATGCTACCAAACCATTTTCTGGAAACACGTAATCATATTTTTCAACCACTATAATCAAAGCAAAGAAAGACTTAAAATGCAATGAATTAAAATATGTATTTCTACCTTTGTTTGTTTTTTGTTTTTTTTTTTGTAGAGACAAGTTCTCTCTATGTTGCCCAGACTCGTCTTGAACTCCTGGCCTCAAGTAATCCTCTTGCCTTGGCCTCCAAAAGTGCTGAAGATTACAGGCATGAGCCACAGCACCCAGCCCTGTTTCTACTTCTTTGATTAATACTTACTGTTAAGGACTGTGAAAGACTACCTCATCTTAATGGAGTGAGAGAGAGCAGAAAAAAGCTCCTTATCTTTTTAAAAAAGGCTCTTTGGGTTACAAATTGAAATGCTGACCTGACAACAGGGCTGGGGTTTGGAGACTCAGTGAGGGGTTATTTCACGTTCCTGACTTCAGTCTGCCTGTCTGTAAAGAAGATGCTGGCCTTTAATGGCTTCTGAACCCCAAACCAGCAGCACCAGGGCAGTGAGTGAAAATGTATTATAGATTTCCAAGCTCTGCTCTCAGGCTTTCTGAATCAGAATTACCAGGACACAGGCTAAAAATCAAATTAAAAAAAAAAAGTTTTTTAGATGATTCTTATAATCACTCAGATCTGGAGACTACTCACATAAACCTTAATGAAGGGATTCTCAAACTTCAGGCAATAAAGTGCAGATTCCCCTGTGTGGTGGGTGGGGCCTATATGTGTCTTTTAATAAGTTTCCCAGATGATTCTGATTCAGGGCCTCCAGCTTTTCTCTAGCTTGTCAAGGTTTTGATTCTGTTGTTGTAGATGCTCTGCAAAGTACAGACACTATGCTGTGCTGACAATAAACTTCTCTGCATGTTGGTTAAATATCTGACTAGGGGAAGAAAGGGCCATCATGGTTAGGTAATACAATCTCCAGGGCTTAACGTGCCCCATTATATGGTTTACAGCATTCCTAAGCAGAACACTTAGAAGAAAAATTAAGTGTAAGTGGAATAGAGAATTTCAAAAGGATTACAAAAACTACCCTTCCAGTAATGGAGATCCATACTGTAAAATATTGTATCTACAACAGTAGTTCTCAAACAAGGGTGATTTTACTCCCAGAGGACAGCTGGCAAAATGTCTGGTGACATTTTTGGTTGCCAATACAGGGTGTGTGTGTGTACGCTGCTGGCACCTAGGGGATAAAGGTAAAGGATGGTGCTAAATCCCCTACAATGTCCAGCAAACCTCCCATAACAGAATTATTTCGTCCAAAATGTCACTGGCTCTGAGGCTGAGGAAGCTTGCTCTACAAGAGTTAGTTCCAAGATGTGAGACGCTGGGAGCAACAGGAGTTGAAAGATCAATTCATCCATCTCCTCACCTACTTTTTCTTATTTTTTTGAAACAGTTTCACTTTGTCACCCTTGGTAGGGTGCTATGGCATCACAGCTCACAGCAACCTCAAACTCTTGGGCTTAAGTGATTCTCTTGCCTCAGCCTCCCAAGTAGCTGTGATTACAGGTGCCCTTCACAATGCCCGACTATTTTTTTTGTTGCAGTTGTCATTGTTTTAGCTGGCTTGGGCTGGGTTGGAATCCACCACCCCCACAGCCAACCTTGGTGTATGTGGCTGGCACCTTTCCCACTGAGCTACAGGTGCTGCCCCTACTACTTTTTCTTATAGGCCAGGCACCCCAAAAGCTGTGGGACAATGCAGATGTATAACCCTAGACCTGGTTTTCAAGATGAGCATATAACCAGGTAGTTTTCTATAGTGAGAGACTGCTATTATCAGCAGTGTATTAGAATCGCTTGTGGTTGGTTGCTAAAATTCCATTCCCAGGCTCTGCAGACCTATCAAATTGAAATATCCAGTGAAGGGGTGACTAAGATCTCTCAGCTTCCGAAGGTCCTGGGCTGAGGACTCTGTTTCAGTGTGTGTGTGGGGTTGGGGTGGGGGGGTGAGTCATGATTAGGGAACTCTGCGAAACACTGTGTTAGGGCAAAAGGAAGGAGGCACTTCGACACAGAGGGCACGTCCACTGATGGGTAAGACATGGACACTCACCTGTCTAAGTAAATCTAACCACACATCTGAGTACCGAGTGCTCCATCAGCAACTCCAGAAATTTACAGAATTAAAAGTAGAGGAATTGGGAATGATTATATGTGGGATAAAGAAAAAAGCAGTGGAGGAAAAGCAAAGGTAGAGAAAATGTTTCCTCAAAGAAAGAAGCAGACAGAGAAAGGAAGCGTCAGGGCTGTTTATGATACTCAGCTACAGTCCCAATATTCTCATAAGAGATTAATCTTTTACCAAAATGTAATTAGTAACATATCATTTACCATCATTTCCCAGCTGCTCCTGTACTTTCTCAAAGTCTGACCCGCCTACCACTCCAATTTTGATCTTCTTCCTCAATTTTTGCAGAAATCCATCCATTTCTTTGGTAATCTTCTACATTTCAAGAAGAAAAATTACAATAGTTAAGAGCCACAAAATAATGAGCAGACTAAAATTGCAGGGTGATCCAAGCCTCATTTTCACATAGGCCAGTTCAGCCACTAGGTCCTTAGATAACTTCAAATATTTTACTTGTAATTTTGAGGCATCAAACTTTGACTGCAATAAACTTGTTAAATGTCATTTATTTTTACCACATTTTATTATTTTATTTTATTTGAGATAGAGTGTCTCATTTTGTTTTGTCCTAAGAGAGTGCTGTGGTGTCACAGCTCACAGCAACCTCAAACTCTTGGAGTCAAGTGATTTTCTTGCCTCAGCCTTCCAAGTAACTTGGACTACAGGTGCCTGCCACAATGTTGGCTATTTTTAGAGATGGGGTATCACTCTGGCTCAGTCTGGTTTCAAACTTGTGACCTCAGGCAATCCACTCACCATGGCTTTCCAGAGTGCTGGGATTATAAGCACCACACCTGGCCCACAGTAAATTTTTTAAAATTTTACTATTTCAGTCCTTTGAGCAATTTTTTTTTTTTAATTTTTGAGACAGAGTTTCACTCTGTTACTCAAGCTAGAGTGTAATGTCGTTAGCTCAGCTCATAGCAACCTCAAACTCCTAGGTTCAAATGAGCCTTCTGCCTCAGCCTCCCCAGTTAGCTGGGACTACAGGTGCCTACCATTATGCCTGGCTGATTTTGATAGTAGAGACAGTCTCATTCTCGCTCAGGCTGGTGTGGAACTGCTGAGCTCAGCGATCTATCTGACTATCCTCTCAGAGTGCTAGGATTACAGGTGTGAGCCACCACGCCTGGCCAACAATCTTAATTGTATTTTTTTATTGAATATATATATATATATTTTTTTTTTTATCTTTTTTTTTTGCAGCTTTTGGCGGGGGCTGGGTTTGAACCCACCACCTCCAGTATATGGGACCAGCGTCCTACTCCTTTGAGCCACAGGCACTGCCCTGAATATATATATTTTAGAGACAGAGTCTCATTTTGTTGCCCTTGGTAGAGTGCTGGGACATCACAGCTCACAGCAACCTCCAGCTCTTGGGCTTAAGCGATTCTCTTGCCTCAGCCTCCTAAATAGCTGGGACTACAGGGGCCCACCACAACACCTGGCTATTTTTTTTTGTTGCAGTTTGGCAAGGGCTGGGATTGAACCGGCCACCCTTGATATATGGGGCCAGCAACCTACTCACTAAGCCACAGGTGCCGCCCTCTTACTGAGTATCTTTTTTTTTTTTTTTTT